CTAGATGAGCTGCCCATGGCTCCATCCCACATCCTGCCCTGGCTGGGAAGCGCCTGCCCCTGGCCCACTCCCTCCCTCCCCATACGGGCCCTGATCTACCCCCGCCATGCCCTTTCCCTTTCCCCTCTCACCCCCCTCACTTACCAGCTGGATGCTGCTCGTCAAGCTGCTGGGCTGCATATCAGTTATCAGACTGGTATTGGCTGATATGGCTGGTTAACAATCAGCCATCGGTATTGGCCAAAAAAATCTTTATCGGTGCACCCCTAGTAACTTCTAACTTATCCAAGTTATAACACGCTTCTTGCTAGTCTTAAAAAAGTGCTACAATCCAAATTCCTTAAAGCAGAACAACCCTATATTACATTTTCAATGTAAACTACTCAGTCCCTTTAAGGAATTACTCTTAGCTTATGACAAGCACACTGTATATTAGGCCACCCTGCCCAATAGTAATAGTACAGGAAAATAGTTACCAAGTCTTTTTGAATACGCATCCAACTTATAGGCTGCCTGCTCAAGAGCTGCCACTTGTTCCTCAATGAGGTTGATCTGTTCCAGGTATGGCTGAAGAGCAGCATCTTAGAAAAAGAAAAAAAAGCCATATCCATCAATTCTTATTAGCTCACCAACAAAAATCATCTCAGACCTGACACAAGAGTTTTTCTGGATATTCTTTGGACAGAATATTTTAAAAAGGCAGCCAAAAAACAAACAAACAAACAAAAAAAAAACAAAAAAAACAAAAACAAAGAACCAAGTACGAAATTAAAAAGACTATAATAAAAAAATGCTCATAAACTCACCACCAATGGAAATACAATGGGAATAAATACAAAAAAAATCACCCCCACTTCTTATCAATTCACCGTTCATTGAAATTTTATTAACCTCCACCTCATTGATGATGCAGAATATATTATTGTACCCCACATACAAATGACGATGCTCGAGGACCAAGCCTAAGGGCATGAATTAAGTCATTATCCAGTTTGCCCTAGACCAAAGAAGGATCCTATAGCAAAGGTGAAAATACAATCCAGGTTTCCTTACTCCAGTTTTGCTTACCATAAAGCCAACCTTCCTCTCCCATAGAAAAGCGAAGGGATGAATATCAATTCTATTCAGAGTGCTCTTTTCTTTAGCAACACAAAATATGACACATTATGGATTGCAAATCCATTCTGGAGGCCTGTAAGACTCTACAGTCTCCTCTCCTTAGAAGTTTCATTTACTGCATAACACAACTTTTACTATACTCCTTTCCAATTTGTTTAACTTACATTTTTGATTTAAGTCTTTTAAGTTCCGACTAATGTTTATAGCAATATCTTTCATTTCCAGGTATTTCAAGCTGGTCAATTTGTTCATGTTTTCCAGAAGTTTGTAGTCTTCACTTGTGGCTTTAAGAAAAGAAAATATTTACAGCTTTATTCAAAGCCCAAGCAGTTTGGATACAATGGGCAACTTTTTTAAGATTTCAAGATGAGAGCAGTACAAAACTAAGAACAGCTTAGCCATTAATAAAACTCCTCACAGAACGCACGCTGGAAAAAATATTTTGAGAACTGGAATTTCCAAATGGATTGAAAAATAAATGTGACACATTCAGCAAGAAATACAGACCTTCTAGTTACATTCATTTCTACAGTATCTATTGTTCTAGAGATAGCTGCTTCAGAGGCCTTGAACATGAAAGCTGATCTGCATGAATGAGCACTCTGGTCTAACTATAGATGTTTAAATGACAGCAGTGGTGATATGTGCGTCCATGCAATAGCTTGCAAGATTAAGGCTTAAGACATCAGACACTGTTTTGGTAGGGGAAAAAAAACAAAAACAAATCCTAGAGTCAGAACTTCTTTATTAACCTTTATATCTTTCACATTGCACAGATGCTTCAATTCCTCAAAGTAGCATTAAAAAATAAGAGAGAGTGCGCAGGAGAATTAATTCTGGTACTAGGGATATGCAAGTTCAAATGCCTGTTTTATCAGAGACTTCCTATGTATCATAGTACACAGGGTTGGAAGGAACCTAAACAGATCATCAGGTCCGACCCCCCTGCCCCAGGCAGGAATGGGTGCCGGGGTCATATCACCCCAGCTAAATATCTGTCCAGCCTCCTCTTGAAGGCCCCCAAGGTAGGAGAGAGTATCACCTCATGTGGGAACCCATTCCAGAGCCTGGCAGCCCTAACTGTAAAGTAATGTCTCCTGATGTCCAGCCTGAACCTTCTCTCTAACAATTTGTGGCCATTATTCCTACTAACCCCAGGTGGTGCCCGGGGGAACAGAGCCTCCCCCAATTCTCGCTGGCCCCCCCAGTGAGATTGTAAACAACCACCAGATCCTCCCTCAGCCTTCTCTTGTGGAGGCTGAATAGGTTCCGGCCCTTTAGCCTCTCTTCGTAGGGCCTGCCACACTGCCCGTTGACCATGCGCGTGGCCCTCCTCTGGACCCTCTCAATGCTGTCCAAATCCCTCTTGAAGTGCGGCACCCAGAATTGGACGCAGTACTCCAACTGTGGCCTGACCAATGCCGCATAGAGGGGAAGGATCACTTCCCTGGACCTGCTTGTGATGCATCTGTAGATGCACGACAAGGTGCAGTTAGCCTTACTGACCACTTCCTTGCATTGGCAGCTCATGTTCATCCTGGATGAACCCTGAGCAATGTGGGTTGCCTGTGACCCACAATCCTGAGCAAATCGCTTTGCAAAAAGATCTGTGACCCTGTGCAACTCACTTAGGCCCAGGTCCTCAAAGGTATTTCAACATGAATTAGGTACCTAATTATTAAGCTTTTCTGTGTCTTTGCTCCTATCTGCAAAGTGAGAATAACTGAATTTCTCTACCTCTGACTGATATGAGAAGGACAAATACATTAGCTTGCGAGTGCTCAGATATGACAGTAATGGGGGCATTAAAAGTATCCAAGAGTCAAACAAACATGTTTAAGGCTCTGCTGATTTAGAGCTATATACAGTAGGTTAGGAGAGAGGGATTTTCAAAACTTGCCCACCTTGGACAAGAGGATAGCTGCCAACAACTTACCACAGTGGCTGTTTGCAATTTGGCAATGTTAACATAAAGACAACAAAGGTTTTAAGAGATCGGAAAACTAAGCTGCATTGGGTTGCTAGTTCCGTACTGAAGGACCGTTTGAAAGATAGGCATGACTGTTTGGAGCCCTCATTAGCTTTGCTAAAATCAGATATTCTTTTATCTCAACCCACGTGGGTACCATTTTGGCAAACTAAACGGCAGATATTGTTTTTTAAACAGTTTTGATCAAAGCTAGTAAAATATCTGTTACCTTCACAGTTGGCCTTACCTGTCAGTTCACCTGTTAAATAGGTGGCCATTTTGCTGAACATATCCTTACAAAGCTCATTGATATCTGCTTCTGCTGGTTCCTTAGCCTCTTCTGCCGTCTCAACAGCAGGATCCTCTAATCAAGATACAGAGAGGGCAGAGGTAGTGGAAAGTAAAATAGCGGAACACATACAAGGCAAAGACAACACAGATCTTTTTGCAACGTTTGCCTTCAGCATATGGTGTACGCTGAGGACTAAAAGAGCATTAATCCCCTACCATGGCGGCCCCATTAATCTGTAAAACAGTCTGAAGGTAAAGTTAAATAGATTGGGCTTTTCAGTTACCCTTTAGGTTACAAAGAGAAAAGTTACTCTACTTCCAACATAAAGAGGACCCAACAGCAACATGGCGAAAGGGATCTTTCAATGTGATTTTTCCTACTGGTTATATCCAAGCTCCTCTTCTTTTTTATCCTTACTTGCAAATGATTGAGAACTCATCTTCCCTCCCTCCTCCCCAGAAGGCACTGCAAATCCTCCGGTGCTTGTCTGCTGAATTTCCTCTCCCCTCCCTTAAACCCTTAAAGAAGTGCTTT